ACACACACACACACACACACACACACACACACACACACACACACACACACACACACACACACACACAAAAGGGAGCAAACGTGAGGGAAGAGATTTAGTGTCACCTCTCACTTCCCCACTCACTCAGGGCTTTTCCTGGGTTTTTCCTGCATCATAGTTGCTAGCTGCGGATTCCTTTTTAAGATTGGCTATTCTTTTGCTCTTGCGGTGGTGGCGGAGTGTTTGTAGTTTTTGTTTTCTTTTTTTCTCGTCTTGCGTGCTCCTTACTCCTCGCGTGTTTCTGTTACTGCGGCATACAATGCGGAGATCCACTGCATCATCTCTGCGCGGCATGCTGCGGAGGGTCAACCAGTGGGCCGGCCTCGCCTTTACTTTGCTTCTCATCGGCTGGGGGAGCATCACGGTGCTGCTTTTTATGTACGTGCCGCTGTTTTCTCGCAAGCCAAGTTTGCTGGATGGCTTTCTGGCGTCCGTCGCCGCGGTGACGTTTCTCATGACGATGTGGTCGCTGGGGGTGCTGTTCGTGACGCACCCGGGCCCGCCGCCGCCGTGGTTCGCTGCGGAGCGCGTGGAGGCCTTCATGCGTGGGTTGCTGGCCGACGTCGTGGCGTACGGCAGCAGCGGCGGGAAGCAGGGCGAAGGGAAGCGCGGGGTCAGCGGCACCGCACACCACAGCCTCACCGCGGCGGAGGGGCATAAGTGGCTGGATGCGCCTCGGGGCGCGCAAGAGGTAGTGGCGGGCACGCATGAGATGCAGCTGGTGAACAATAGCGCCTGCTATAATGCACCAACCGTCGCCTTGGACTTTGTGCGCGATGCAGGAGCGGCCCCCAAGCAAGAAGAAAAAAGGCAGCAACAGCAAGAGGTAGGCGGTGTGGGTCGCAGCCGTCGTCGACGCCGTCGTGACGGTGTTGATGGCAGTGACGTACGAAGTTCTTCTAACCGATTATGGATGCCGCATCGGAATATATTTTTAGTCGCTTCGGACGGCATTGCGGCCCTTGACCGCTCCCCTGAGAGTCGTGAGCAAGAGATGTGCTTCCTCATCGGAGGTGCACGGCGCTGTCGCTTTTGCCACATCTACAAGCTGGATGATACGCATCACTGCTCGAGATGCCGCACCTGTGTGTACGGGATGGACCACCACTGCCCATGGATAGGCCAGTGCATTGGCTACGACAACCACAAACACTTTCTCCTGTTCATGGGCTACATCATTCTTCTTTTGGCGACATCGCTGCTGCACTTCGTCGTGGTTGTGAGTACAGGTCGCGCTAGCTTTATTCTAGCTGGCGCGTCTGCGATGTTGCTCCTTGCGCTTGTCCTCGCCGGATCTTTCCTGGTGGTGCTGCTCGCGTTTTGCGCCCGGGATGTATTTTTGTTAGGCAGAGGCGACAGCACCCTGCGACTCCTGCGGCGCGAGGAGCGCCGCGCCTACGAGTCACTGCACCGCGGGTCGTACAACTATGTGACGGACGACGCCAGTGACAGCGGCGACGGCGTAGCGGTGCGGAGGTTTAGTTTTCAGAACTTGCGCCGCGTCTTTGGCGCGGGCCCCGTGTGTCCGCTGTGGTTCCTGCCGCTCCAACCACAACGGCCCTCACCGTCGTCAGAAGAAGCGGAGTTCTGGGCCGCACTCAAGCTGACAGCGCTGCGACAAATGCGGGAAGTGGCGGATGCCGAAGACGACAGTAGCGACAGCGACGAGGAGAACGTGGAGAGAGGAGGAGGAGGAAGCGGAGTTCGACGCCTGTGAGGCGGCGGAAGCACGTGGGGTGTACATGTTTCTTCCCTGCTTTGTTGCTTGTGTTTTTTTTTTTGCGAACCGAACAAGTCAGCAGTTGGGCGTGGGCGGAACATGCAGAAAAGTGCGGTGAGGTGGGGGGGACACCGACAGCCATTAATGCGAAAATGCGTGCCAAAGCTGCCTCTGTGCGAGGAACCCAAAAGTGTGTGTGTGTGTCTGTGTTTCTGTCAACAACGAACGGAGAACGGGATAATTGAACGGACAAAATGTCATGAAATATTGCCTGTGGGGTGTGCCTATGCTGATGCAGGCATGTGAGTTTCTTGTTTTGTTGCGTGTGCGTCGTTTTACGGGGGGGGGGGGGTCGTCGTGTGCCTGTCACCGATGGGTGGGGTGCGGAAAGCCGTCAGCGGTGCCTGCTCCCACACGTGCCATTGCGAGCAAGGCAGTAACAACGGGCCGGAAAAAAAACACACACAACAACAACAACAACAAGGGTTTGAAACCAACTACAAGGACGAGGAGGCCACTTCCATGAGCGAAAATGGCGCTTATGTGCATGTATCTTGTCATCGTTTTTTTTTTAAAAAAAGGGTATGCGTTCGGTTCTTTGTGTGCGGGCGGAACGAAGGGAGGATGAAGCAGGCGGAGTGTAGCTGTGGTTGAGAGGGGGCCCACATTCTGCGGTTTCCCTGCCACTCTCCCTCCTCCTCCTCCTCTCTCTCTCGCGCCCTCCTTCTGCTGAGATTTACTGTGCCTTTCCGCCAGTTTTCTTCTGCGTCATTGACGTTCGTCCCGGCTGCCTCACGCAACCACCAACGCAGGGAAATAAGCTCCGTTGCAGCAGATACAATTCTAGGAAGAGTTATTTATTTTTATTACAACAAAACACGGGGCAAATACTCCGAGGAGGAATCAAAAAAGCAAACAAAGAAAAGCGAAAAGGGGTGAATCGTAAGCAAAGCAGGAAATAAAAGCGGGAGTTATGTCGCTTCATGGCGCCATCACGTTCTTTGTGTCTCAGGACCTCGAGGACATGGGTGTTTCCACGCTCTCTTGCTTAGCTTCCAGCCTCACCGAGCCCGGTGTTGCTGTGTCACTCATCGATCAACATCGTTCTGTGTGCAAGGAGGTGATGTCACGGCTTGTAGCCGTTGCGAATGATGGCGGCAAGAACCCTAGCGCGCGCATTTTGGCCCTCGAATGTTTATACGCCCTGTCGCACGTTCCCAATGCCGGGTTTCGCACAGGAGACCTGCTTGACGCCGTCCAAAAACTGAATGAGTCGTTTGAGGAGTTCTTCGAAGCACAGCCTGCGGGGGCCGTTGAGTCTCAGCAAGAAATGCTCACGGTGCTTTTATTTCGCTGCAGTGGCTACGCGCGACTGAAGGCGGGAGATCTTCTGCGGCAGTTATACAACGGCGACGACGCCCGACTTGTGTCGGCGCTGCAGGCGATCATCAAGGATCGGTCATTTGAGTGGGACATCGTACAGGCCTGCGTGCGCTGCATCTACGAGTTGACCACCCCCGCGAGCTACTTCGCCGTTCCAGACGACAACCATCCCATCGAGACCACCAAGCTCAGCGCCTTCCAGGAAAAAATGACCGCGTTGCTCATCCACTTAACCCAACACAACTCGTTGCAGGACCTGTTTAAGGAGCTCGACGCGCGCTGGGCCGTCGATGTGCGTGAGGAAGGGATTGATGCGATCCTGGAAGGCCAAAGCCCCCTGACAGACTCGGTGTGCGACTGTGTGGCGATGAGGTTCTTGGGAGTATTCCGTTACTTGGCGGTTATGTTGCTAAATTTGGCCGACTTCTGCGAACGGATGGATCTCGTGCGTGCTTACCAGCAGTCCTTTCTGACGCAGCATCAGAGTTTCCTTGGAGGCACGGTCATACCTTTTTTGCGCCTTGCACTTTGTTGCTGGGAGGCCACGTGCGACACAACGCTGGAGTCGCAGAACAATCCGTTCATGAATGTGGCCACTGTCGTGCTGCGTTTGTTGCGCTTCTCCCTTTACCGGCCATCACAGGCGCCAAACGAAACACTTGCCTCATCGCTTGTGGCCTTGACACGACATGTGCACAAGCTGGAGTCAAGGCTTTCTAAGGAGTACGTTGGCATGCTCGTCCTCGTTCTCACTGTGGAGTGTTTGTGTAACGTGAATGCCGTCAAAGTGGAGGCTCTCGCGGCGGACTTTACCGCATTGTTGAATTTGATCTCAAACGACAAGAGCCCGCTACGCCCTGGGGCGCAATTCACGGTTGCACAAGCTTTCGCGTATTGCCTTGCAAACGAAACTTCGATGTACTGCGGCCTTGAAAATGAATCGGTTGCACTGCTGCGCGTAAGGCTGCAAGTTGAGGATGCGGAGATGACCAACGAGGCGGCGCGGGTAGTGCAGGTGCTGGAGGAGCAATTGGAGATGCTACAGACGCTGATGATGGAACTAGCTGTGGGGCAGCTTCTTGGTGATATCTCACTTATGATGCCGTTTGCCGTGGGGACTGGGGAAGCTGCCACGGGAGCCAACTCCGCGGGGCAGGCGCCAAATTCGAAGAGTGCGGACCCTGACAAGAAGCGTGGCGCAGGCTATGCAAAGAAAAAGGTGAAGCACCCGTCTAGGTACGTGTGCATGCTGACAAAGAAACTGATGCGGGAGCCTGTAGTGTTGCGCAACGGTCATCATTTTGAGTTGGATGCGCTACAGGAAGTTGTAGACCGCGTTGGCCACGTGGATCCCCTCACAGGGGAGACGTTTGACGACGAAATAGAGGTGGATATGGACCTGCAACGTGAGATTGCACGATACAGGATAGAAATGGCCGCTCGCGAGGGGGAAGAAGCGGTGGCGTGATTGCCCCAAACAGACACAGAGGCATAACTGCACATGCACATTTGTGCCTGCCTGCACGCATGCATGCATGCAGGCAGCCTGGAAACCCACATCTGCGTGCCTACATCCTCATTTACTATGGTGCCTGCGTCTCTGATACTCGGTTTTTTTTTCGTTTTCAGTTTTGGTTTCTTATTATTTTCGTCATCCTTCTCTCTGTCTACGCGTGTGTCGGTGGATGGCGTTTTTACCTTTGCTTCTAAAGACTTTCTCCACCGCTTGTGGTTCGGCGAACCCCACAAGTGTGTTCGCATGAGCCACGCCTGGGGTGTGTGAGGGGCGCCAGCAAAAAAATAAAGGGAGACGCGGGTGGTGAAAGCACCCCGCTCCGCCCCAACCCAACCAACCCGCACATTTTTGTTTATGTTTTGGTATTCAACTGGACGCGCCGTGCGGGGCGCAGAGGAGAATAGGCGGAAAAGCAAAAACAACGAAACATGCCAAGTGAAAGCAGTGCGAAGAAGAGCGATGTATTTGGGGGGTGAGTGGGAGGCGACGAGTCAACTGGGGCCGCGCGTGTACAGAGCAAAGAGGGGTGTGTGGAGTGCCTTTGAAACGACACGCGTTTCCGCCTCTCTGCCTCTCTGCGAGTGCGAGTGTGTGTGTGTGTGTGTGTGGGAGGGGGGGGGTGATGTAAGGGAGGGGTGCGGCTGTGGAGTGGCAAAGATTATGAGAGCAGTGAAGGGAGAAGCGGGGACTAGGCCCGGAGAATATCGACCTGCCTGCAGGTAAGGAGGTGGAGAAGTAAGTATGCGTGTGTGGAGGAGGGAGACCTCTTTTTTTCGTTTTCGTTTTTTTTTGTTGTTGTCGCAGTCGTGGTGGGCCGCTACTGCGACCATCGCGGGGTCTTCTCTACACCCCCTTAGGTCAACTGTGTGTTTGTGCGGGAGGGCGGTGAGGCAGGACAGCAAAATGAGGTGATGCGTCAAGGGAGGTGGGCGGCCCACAAACACAAAGAGGCAATTATACAAGCACGTTATACACATGCATGCAGTTGAAGTGTGCCACCACCCCCACCACCGTCACCAACCCTCTTTACGCCTATCAAAAGATGGGGAATTGACCGCTTTCCTTTCACTTTGTGCCCCATTGTTTTTTTTTTTTCTTCTTCCCTGCCTTTCAAACAGGGCTTCGACGTTCCTTGCCCCGCCAAGCAAGTTGATATTCCGCATCAGTAGAAAGCAAAAATAGAAGATTTTACGAAATGAATGGTTTAACTTTTGCCTGTCATTGTACGCGAACACCATGGCGGGGGCCGTTGATGGTGGTGTACAGGAAGTGCCGCTTCAGGGAGATTTTTGTTTCTTGTTTGCTCGGTTTCTGACCCCTTTTACTTGCTTTCTTTCTCTCTGCGTG